CTCATTCCTTAGAAATGTCAAGTGTAGATACAATCACTCGTGTTACACGTTGGTTCAATTACACACTTTCAATACCAATGATTATCTTGGGTATCTTTGGAGCTATTCTAACTGTTTTAGTTTTCACTAAGCAACGTCGTTTTTGGCGTAATCCAATTATCAATTATCTTCTGGCCGGTGCGGTGATGACTGGTATACATTTGCCAGCTGTTTATCTGCAAAGTATTCTAGTCAATGGTTTTGGTTTGGGCCTTTTCAATACGGATGATATTGCTTGTCGTGAACATAATTATCTACTCTATATGACAACTGTTACGGCTATTTCATTTCCATGTTGGGCATCTTTTGATCAATATGCTAGTACATGTCGTAATGCTAGTTTTCGTCATCGGTGGAATTCTATCCGAGTTGTTCGATTAACCATAGTCGGTACAGTATTGTTTTGGTCTATTATATATATCCCGATCATCTTCGTTAGTGGTATTATCAATGGTAGTTGTGTATTACTTCCAGGTCCTTACACAACCTTCAACACCTATGTAATGACACCTTTTGTTTACAGTATTGGTCCAATACTCGTGATCAGTATTTTCACAATGGGTACAGTGAGAAATCTTCATGGTGTTACTGGTCATAGACCTCGAGGACGCTTAGCTCAACAAGTTCGTCATATGCTACTTCCTCAATTACTTGTACTTGTTGTTTCAGGTGTTCCATTCGGTTTTCAAGGTATCTATATAGATTTGACCAGAGACATTCCGAAAGATACTTTTCGTTTGAGTATTGAAAATGTTTTTGCACAAGTTATTCTTTTATTATATCACTGCAATTATGTATGCACATTCTATATCTACTGGTATATGTCCAGTGAAGTGAGAAAAACTGTCAAACGGCTGTTATGCAAGTATTATCTAATAAGCAGCATCATACCAATGGATGCGACTACCAACAATACAATTATTCTTCGAACAATGAACGGTGAAAATCAGTTGTCTGAAGTTTTATGAAATGCATATGCTAAATATCTCTATAATATTGATAGAAAACAAGACTAAAAAATATTCTGCTATTTTAATTTTCCATAGCACTCTGTTCATATTCTTTTCTTTAAATGCTATCGTCAAATTCTATGATGAAATATAAATTTCTCATCCTTATCTCGTTCATATTATTCGTTTTGTAATCAATATGTTCATGTTTGACTACTCTTCATACATGTTACCCTTTGCTTCTTGCATAATCGATATACTTGATTGCTTTTTCTCGCTTATCTGTCATTGATTTCTGTATAAACATGTTTATGTAGGTGGATTGCATTGTATTGTAGTATGAATAGATGAAGAATAAAGTGAACATCATCATATTGTGGCTATAATTGTATTCAAGTTTGTCAACAATTGGTTTTTGATGCTTATTACAAGTATCGATAAAAAACACTGTTTCAGTAGTAGATTCGAACATTTGTAAGGCAACAACGGCAAAATTGATCACAAGTAAAATTGTAGAACTCTGCTTCAGTATCAGTTTCGTATATCCGTTTAGAGTTCTCAACCTAGTCAATGAATCAAGAAAAGAATTCTTGCGACAGTTTGTTTTCAGTTCAAGGCAATATCTAAATACAAATAACAGATCCAATTAATCATAATATAAGATCAAAAAACAAACACACATCTATGCAAAACCCAATAAGAATTTATGATATATTGGATGTTACTTTAAATTTTACTCAGTATATTAGACAGTATCATAAACAAGCTGTTCAGTTATGTTAACATGAATTAAACCTTTTTAAAACTATTTCTTCAGCAAAATAAACGAATAAAAATTACAAATGATTTATAAAGAAGAAGTTGTATATTACAATGTTCAACATAAAATACTAATACAACTGACTTTATTTATAAACTTACTGATTTCTTAATAAATTATCAATATTAATAATGACAAAGTTTCTGTCCGATGCCAATCATTATGTTCTGCTCCAATATTCAATAATATTATGAAGAGATCTTAGATATCTCTTATTCAAAGATCATATTCATTGAACTAACAATGGAACATGATTATAACTGTGATGCGTAGAATATTTCTTAATTTATTTTAACCTTGAATATGGTACAAATATAAGATTATGATAGAAATATCAGAAATTCATGACCAAAGAACACAAATCAGATGCAGTTTAGGATTGCTGCGAACATAGCATCACTTTTGGGTTCCTAAAGATGAGGAATTATGTTCCACAACGCAAAAAACATAAAGTCAGGTATTATGCTCGTGTATAAGAACGAAGACAACTTATGTGCTCCTGATTTCAGGAGCGGAGTCCAAAATTAGTACCTCGATCATTTTTTTTATGGCTTCTATCAATTTATATTGCTATACATACATACACGCATGTATTCGTTGTTAAATGAGTATCTTTTATTAAAGACGATCAATGTTTGTATGTGTCACTTTTGTTGTTGTTTTTTTCTGTGTGGTGTACATGTTTGGTTTTTTTTATCAATTTTTTTCTCTCAATCGATGTTGCTATACTATAGTAGATGAGCAGAACAAACTCTTTTTTTTCCAGCATACATATCGGTAACATTCAAGAAGAAAATACCTATGACACAGCACAGAGCTTACCAAGACAACTAAAACAGCACACCCTTTCTGCTCGTAAAATATTGGCACCATCATGCCTTTTCAACACACAGCTAACTATGATTCCGTCCGATCAAAGTTCTACTTTGAAAATCAATCTTTTTCAGTCATACATTGTGAATTATATTTCATATTATGTGATTATATAAAATCATGAATATAAAATATAATTTAAAAAACTTATTTTTATGTTCGCATAATATCAAATAATTATTATTCTCGAGCCTTTTTTCGTTAATGATTTACTTAAAAAATATTAAGTAAAATTTTTTTCTTTTAAACATCGTCTGTCACGTATCTACGAGAATCTGAAAATATTACTTGTGATTTTTATTTTTGTTTTTTTTTACTATTAATTATATTTCTAGGTGAATGAAATTAGAGGGCTGCAGGGTGCAGTATTTTCGTAACCTGTAACCTGCCCTGTAAAAATTCTGCAACCTAATCCTGTCCTGCCCTGTGAATTTTTTCGCGTACCCTGCTCTGTCCTGCCCTGAGACTTTTTTCATAACCTGTAACCTATCCTGCCCGGCCCTGCCATGCTATATTTGATATTACAAAAAAATTCATAACTTTTCATCGACTTCGTATATCAATTCTCCTACTTTATGTTGTTTTATACTTCGATATTCGTCTTCGTATAAAATTTTTCAAAAGATGTCTATAATGTTTGATTCGATAAATTAGTAGCAGGTTAACAGGTTATGACAGTGCTGCCCTGTAACCTGCCCTGTAAACATTTCGTAACCTGACCCTGCCCTGCCCTGCTACTTTTGCAACCTGCCCTGTCCGTTCCTGGCAGGGCAGGGCAGAGAAGGACAGGTTATGGGCACCCTGCAGGGCTCTAAATGAAATACAGCCGGTTCAAACCGAAAAACTCAAGAACATGGTAGGATCTTGGAATTAGAAATCTGGTGACCGAATTTATTCAGCTCAAGTCGGAACCTGACAGAACTGGCAATCAAATATGATACAAGCTTCTTGCTTCCAAATTCCTATTATATTTTGGATTTTTCTGGTCGAAAACGGCGTCTTTTCCGCAGGTTTCCATCAAAGATCCATGGATATCGGCACTGAAATGATTGACCTGAATTAATGTTATATATCAATTTATTCCTAATTTCAGTCGCTTATCGCATTCTGTTAACAAAAAGAGATCAGGATTCGGCAATTATAGACAAAAATAACACTAAGTTATATGTACTATTTAATAATATTTTAAGAAAAAACAAAACTGTATTACCTTTGTCTAATGAATGTCTGATCAATTTAGCGACTTGAACAATAGAGAGAATAATCCGAAGATTCGTTAAAACGTCTTGAAAACATTATTCATATGATGATATAGAACAAGTCTACCTCAAATATTGTGCCATGATTATATTTCAATTCATTTTATTTCAACAGCTGTATATTTATATATGATTTTAATGGAATAGATCAAAGAAAAAAATAGAACCAGAGAGAAGTTCCATTCCTCAAATTCAGTATTTTCTCATGAGTTCTTTGTTTAAAAATTCTTTTTTTTTCCAGATTTTAAATCATTCTTTATTATCATAATAGCTGTTTATTCTGATGTGCAATAGTCAAGTACATCGAATGTGATTGATTCTCATAAAATAACAATTAATCATTGAAGCTTAAACAATTGTTGTATTGTTGTTGTTGTTGTAGTCACGAAAATTAAAAAAAAAACTAACTGTTTCAATAAAATGCTAAATAGTATTTATGCAATGACTGTCAAAATTATCTACAAAGTAGATTAGTTCATTTTTATTTTTTGTTATATATAAAACATTATATAAACTAGGACAATCTTATTTATATCAGATTATAACCCATACTCTCTATTATATCAGTGTCAAAAATTTCAAGTCAATTCATTCCTATATTTAGTTTATATTACTGATACAATCATAGCATGCTGTTTCTTATCCTTTCAAAATTATATAACTATTCATTTTTGGAAACTATTGTATACTTGTTCTATGTTTAAAATTTCTCTAATGATATATTATTCAAGAGAACTAATTGCGTTTTACGTTATGACCTTTTTTACAGTAATTTTTTTTCGAGTATGATTTTAGAAACAATGTTTTTTTATACTCTTCTAGAAATATTGAAAAAAAAGTTGTTAAAAGACCCTTTTTTGTGTACTCAAAAAGTGAGTACACTCTAGAATCGGTCAGTATGGCCGTCCGTCCGGCCGTTAACACGATAACTTTTGAAAGGAGAGTCCAATCGCGATGAAATTTTCTACACAGTTAAGTCTTAACAATGTCTCGGTCGAGTTCGAAGATGGGAAGAATTGGCTGAACCATTCTTGAGTTATTGCAAAAATACTCATTTTTTCCTGTGGCTTCCTATGCGAAAATCGACCCATCCCCGCTTTCGTAAAAAACTTTTCCTATCATAGTCAAATAAAACCGCAACTATTATATACCATTCGATAGAGAATTTCACGAGCTACAAAATGGTGTATAAAGCATTAAAAATTTGAGCTCAAACTTTTGGGCCAAGGAAAGAGTTTTTTGAGAAAATAGCGATATTTCATAAAGGTTGGCGAAAATAAGTCGGGGTCGAGGAATCTGAATTTGAAGTCAGATTTTGAAAATTTTGAACTCCATTTTTAGTGTACTCAAAAAGGGAGTACACTACTAAAATCGGTCTGTGTGTCCGTCCGGCCGTCCGGCCGTCCGTCCGTTAACACGATAACTTTCGAAAGGAGAGT